GCGCCCAGGAATTGAGATCGCTGGGTTCATGGTGCAGTGTTGCCAACCACTGAATAAGAAATCCACCCCAATCAGCCATTTGTCGATTTACTCCAATCAATATCCACTAGAGGGGCTCTCTCAAGCGGGGGGAGGGGGCGTGGGCGCTGCGGAGAGCGATCGTGGTGGTGGTGATGGTGTCGGTGGTCCTGGTAGTGTTGGTCCTGATGGTGGTGGTTGATCTGCTCTAGAAAACCTTAACTGGAGCGGTCGATGCCGCCGTAGAAACCGGAGAAGCTGAAGCACACAGAGAAGGGCGGCCGCAAACACGTGGAGCTGGATCCCGACCCGGGGGCCGCCAAAGAAAGGCCGCAGGGCTGAGGAGCGAGCCAAAGAGGCCAGGGAAACGGGTCACCATCATCGCCATCATCGCCGGCATCATCATCACAGCAATCATTGTCATTGTTTGCGTAGTTAGTAGTTACTCCTGCATGTGTTGATTTGCTGTGTGTGAAGACCGTTGTTTTGGTTTTGGCTGTTTTGTAGACACTTCCTTTTGATGTGTTCCCCATGTGTGGTCAGGTGCAGAGATGTACGTGTACGTGTGTAAGTGTGCGTGCACTTGTGGGGAGCGTTAGTGTCGCGGTTAGCGCACTACGCCATAAACCCGGCGACCCGGGTTCAATTCCCGCTCACGGCCAACACCCAGTGACGATTATCTGAACCGGTCCCGGGCCTCCCCTAGGTCGACTCGGCCTCAAATGAGTACCTGGTGCGGTGTGTAAACATCGCCACCGGGGAGACAAAGGTGGTCAGGCGCGGTGCTGGCCACCCACCGCCTCGTGTGCCGTTCCGACCTTCGTAGGTGCTCGCTAACAGCACTTGCCCCTACAGTCTGTTAAGGCTATTCAGGGGATCTTCATCTTTGTCTTTTTGTGCGCTGGTGCGAGCAGCAGTGCAGCTGTTAGCACACTGCGCTGTGAACCCCACGACCCGAGTTCAAATTCCCACTCACGGCCAACACGGTGACTGATATCTGAACTGGTCCCGAGCCCTCCCCTAGGTTGGCCGAACCTTAAAAAATTAGTACCTGGTGCGGTGTGCAAAACATCAACGGTAGGGAAACAATACCGGCCGGGCATGGTGCTGGCCACCTTACCCCTTCGTGTGCCACGTCAGCCTGAATAGGTGCCGACTTGAAAGCACTTGCCTCGGCAGTCCGCTACAGGCGTTTGCCTTTGATGTGCGGTGGGCGACGGCAGGCTGACCGACAGCAACGCGAAGGGTCTCCGCAGAGGAGCAGACGTCCCAGGACGACGAGGAGGCGGGTGAGTGACAGGCGACGACGGAAGGAAAAAAAATCACTTTTTATTTTTTCACCAGGAAAAGGCCCACTGGAGCGACGCGGCTCTTTTTCAATAAGTGGCCTGGCTGTCGCGACCGGCAGCTTCGTGAGAAAGTGGCTCGTGATCGCGCGCAAAATTAAAGCAGCCAAAGTACAGCAAAAACCTTGGATTGCGAGTAACTTGGCCTGCGAGTGCTTTGCAAGACGAGCAGAAATTTTAACTAAATATTAACTTGATAAACGAGCGAGGGTCTCGCAACACGAGCGGTGTACGTGTAGACGCTTTGTACTGCCGAGCGCCACGCGATCGCAACCGACGTACGAGTGCTTTGACGTACGAGTGCTTTGGATTACAAACACGTTTCCGGAACAAATTGTGCCCGCGATCTAAGGTTTCACTGAATCTCTTAAACGCGTGACGTTGATTCTACGAATGCAGAGGTGAAAGCATTTGCCGGTGGCTCACCACGGCGCGTTGCTGCCGCCGCCTCGCCCGCTCCGTCTGCCGTTCCACCACGGCGACCGTCGAGTCGACGAATATCTCGCGCGCCGGCAACGCTCGCCGTTTGGCGTTGTGCACCGGCACCGCCCTGCTCGCCGCGAAGCTCCGGCAATTCCCCCTTTCTCGCCAAGTCCATCCGCTTCCGGTGACAACAAAAATAGCCACGTCGACTCACAGCACGGCGCCACCATCCGCCGCTCGCTCTCGGGCAGAGAGAGCGGCCCACTCGGAGGCTCGAGGAGGAACCACTGACGAGCGGGGAACGCAGCAGCCGGCGCCTAAATGTCACCCTGAGCTCTGCAGTCCTCTATATATGAAGGGTGTTATCGGCCAATCAATGAGTAATTATCCACGTGAAAGGAAACCGGAGTGCCTGGACGGAACCCACGCATTCGAAGCGCAGGTCCGAGCAGTCGATGTTGTAGTTGTTGTGGATGTTGCTGGTGGTTGTGGTGGTTGTGGATGGTTGTGTGGATGTTATAGTTGTGGATGTTGTGGATGTTATAGTTGTGGATGTTGGTGGTGGTTGTGGATGTTGTGGATGTTGGTGTTGGTTGTGGATGTTGGTGGTGGTTGTGGATGTTGTGGATGTTATAGATGTGGATGTTGGTGGTGGTTGTGGATGTTGTGGATGTTATAGTTGTGGATGTTGGTGGTGGTTGTGGATGTTGTGGATGTTATAGTTGTGGATGTTGGTGGTGGTTGTGGATGTTGGTGGTGGTTGTGGATGTTGTGGATGTTATAGTTGTGGATGTTGGTGGTGATTGTGGATGTTATAGTTGTGGATGTTGGTGGTGGTTGTTGGTGGTGGTTGTGGATGTTGTAGTTGTGGATCTTGGTGGTGGTTGTAGATGTGATAGTTGTGGATCTTGGTGGTGGTTGTGGATGTGAGAGTTGTGGATCTTGGTGGTGGTTGTGGATGTGATAGTTGTGGATGTTGGTGGTGGTGGTTGTGGATGTTGTGGATCTTGGTGGTGGTTGTGGATGTGATAGTTGTGGATCTTGGTGGTGGTTGTTGTGGATGTGATAGTTGTGGATGTTGGTGGTGGTGGTTGTGGATGTTGTGGATCTTGGTGGTGGTTGTGGATGTGATAGTTGTGGATCTTGGTGGTGGTTGTTGTGGATGTTGTAGTTGTGGATCTTGGTGGTGGTTGTGGATGTGATAGTTGTGGATGTTGGTGGTGGTTGTGGATGTTGTAGTTGTGGATCTTGGTGGTGGTTGTGGATGTTGCAGTTGTTGTGGATGTAGTGGTGGTTGTGGTGGATGTTGTGGTGCTTATGGTTGTACTCGATGGAGCTGCTGTTGATGTACTGGACGTTGTGTTTGTGGATGCGGTGGCGTTTGCGGATGAGGTGGCGGTTGCGGATGTGGTGTAAGTTGTAGCTGTTGGCGGTGGTTGTGGATGTCGCGGTTTTAGTGAAGGGTTGTGGTTGGAGCGGCTGTCAGACGCGTTGTGCGCGTCGCGCGTTCACGACCCGCCGCCGTTGCGCGTTCCCAGAGCCGCGAGCCGATGCCAAGGTACAGAAGCTCGTCAATGACATCAAGCTCGCTCTCAAGCTCAACAGCCTGGTGAGGACACCCGGGGGTAGCGGGTGGGTGGGGGGGGTGGCCCCATTCATAATAATCCCCGTGGCTTGCGAGTCGCGCCGTTCCCGCGGCGTGGGGCCGTCATCACGGGGCCAGCGCGCGGCCGTGACCACGACCGGCCTGGCTGGACCGGAGCGCCTCCGTGGCTGCACCGACAGCGGCATCACAGACACCGCCGTGCACCTCCAAGAAGCAGCTCAAGGCTCTCTCACCTGGTTCAGCCTCTCACCTGGTTCAGCCTCTCACCTGGTTCAGGCTCTCACCTGGTTCAGCCTCTCACCTGGTTCAGCCTCTCACCTGGTTCAGCCTCTCACCTGGTTCAGCCTCTCATCAGTTCAGGCTCTCACCTGGTTCAGCCTCTCACCTGATTCAGCCTCTCACCTGGTTCAGCCTCTCTCCCATTAAGGCTCTCATTCAGGCTCTCACCTGGTTCAGGCTGTTACCTGGTTCAGGCTCTCACCCATTAAGGCTCTCATTCAGCCTCTCACCTGGTTCAGCCTCTCACCCATTAAGGCTCTCATTCAGACTCTCACCTGGTTCAGGCCGTTACCTGGTCAAGCTATCATCATTTCAGGCTCTCATTCAGCCTCTCACCTGGTTCAGCCTCTCACCTGGTTCAGCCTCTCACCCATTAAGGCTCTCATTCAGGCTCTCACCTGGTTCAGGCCGTTACCTGGTTCAGGCTCTCACCCAATAAGGCTCTCATTCAGACTCTCACCTGGTTCAGCCTCTCACCTGGTTCAGCCTCTCACCCATTAAGGCTCTCATTTAGACTCTTAGCTGGTTCAGCCTCTCACCTGGTCAAGCTATCATCATTTCAGGCTCTCAACGGGGTTCAGGCTCTCACCTGGTTCAGCCTCTCACCCGTTCAGGTGGAGGGCTAATGCTAACGGTTCGTGCGCTGCGTTATGCACCTGGAGAGCCGAGTTCGTTTCCCGCTCGCAGCCAACACCAGTGACCATTATCTGAACCGGTTCTGGGCCTCCCCTAGGTCGACTCGGCGTCAAACGGTGCGGTGTGTAAACATCGCCCCCTACGCTTCACAGCGCTTGCCCCAACAGACTGCGCGAGCCATACGGAGGCGCTCTGCGTGCGCGTGCAGGACACCAAACGGTGCCTCGAGTACTTGGATGAGCCGAACAACTCGCCGCAACTCGACCTGCAGCTCGGCCTGCAGCACGGCCTGCAGAAGCACACGGAGGTGGCGGACAATGACGCGCAAGGTGAGGCCCACCAGCCCCCCAGCTGCCCCCCGCAGGACTTGCTGATCCCCGCCATCACATCCTCCAACCGACACCCCCACTCGCCCCCCCCCCTACTCGCCTTCACAACCCAGCCATCACACAGTCGCCGTACGGTCTCTGTCGATCCTTTCAAGCCGGTTGAGTTTAACCAGGCACCTTCAAACCACCATGGAATTTCTGCGTCTCACTCCTACTTCTCCGGCTCGCGAGGACATCGCAGTCCCTGTCCGCCCCCCCCCCCCCGCCCGCCCCCCCCCCACCACCTTGCGCTTCGGCGTCCGCGTCTCCCCTCGGCGAGAGACCTCCGAAGGGTCCCCACCGCCCCTCGTGACGAGGGAGCCCTCAAGGCGTCGCTGGCGGCGCGTCGGCGACGTCGTCCGCGCCGGGCGAGCACGGGAAGGCGGCGTTTGGGAAGAAGCGCCTCTTCGCGGCGACCGCCGCCGCCGCCAGCACGAGCGTCGCCAGCAGGCCGACCAAAAACCCCGGGCCGAACCCCGGCGGGGAATCGGACGCGGAGGCGTCTTTACCGGGCACGCCGTGCGCCGACTCTGACGTGGCCGCGGTGCCCGTCGTTGGGTCCGGCCTCGCCTGCCGCCCGTTTGACTTCCGCTCGGTTTCGGAGGAGGAGGCGGTCGACGACGAGGAGGAGGAGGAAGAGCCCGGAAGCTGCACGGTATAGCCGGCGACGAGGCGCCGGTGGCCGCCCTCCTCGGCCCAGCACAGGTACGTGCCCGTGAGATCCCGGGGGGCCGGGGGGGCGCCCTGGCGGAGCAGCAGGCCCGCCCGGGGCAGCGGCTGCCCCGGGGCCGGGCCGGAGTCTCGCTCCCAGGAGAGGCGAGCCAGGCGGGAGGGGGGGGGAGCAGGGCAGCAGCAGCAGCGGCGCCAGCGCCACGCGGACGGCCACCACGTCTGCACGCGACGCGGGGGCGGCGGAGACGACGGTGAGGACGGGACAGCGGAGACACGGGGAGGGAGAGACAGCGGAGACACATGGAGGGAGAGATATGGGGAGGGAGAGACATGGGGAGGGAGAGACAGCGGAGACACGGGGAGGGAGAGACATGGGGAGGGAGAGACAGCGGAGACACGGGGAGGAAGAAACAGTGGAGACACGGGGAGGGAGAGACATGGGGAGGGAGAGACACGGGGAGGGAGAGACATGGGGAGGGAGAGACACGGGGAGGGAGAGACACGGGGAGGGAGAGACACAGGGAGGGAGAGACAGCGGAGACACGGGGAGGGAGAGACACGGGGAGGGAGAGACATGCGGAAGGAGAGACAGTGGAGACACGGGGAGGAAGAAACAGTGGAGACACGGGGAGGGAGAGACACGGGGAGGGAGAGACACGGGGAGAGAGAGACACGGGGAGGGAGAGACACGGGGAGGGAGAGACACGGGGAGGGAGAGACACGGGGAGGGAGAGACACGGGGAGAGAGAGACACGGGGAGGGAGAGACACGGGGAGGGAGAGACACGGGGAGGGAGAGACACGGGGAGGGAGAGACACGGGGAGGGAGAGACACGGGGAGGGAGAGACACGGGGAGAGAGAGACACGGGGAGGGAGAGACACGGGGAGGGAGAGACACGGGGAGGGAGAGACACGGGGAGGGAGAGACATGCGGAAGGAGAGACAGTGGAGACACGGGGAGGAAGAAACAGTGGAGACACGGGGAGGGAGAGACAGCGGAGTGCGGCGCGGTGAGCACCGACCTGGCGGGTGAGCGGAGCAGAGCGTCGTCGCGTCACCACCGCTCACGTCCTGCAGCCACGACCTGTGGGGAGGGTGGGGGGGGGGCACACAGGGGAGGGGGATGGGGGAGCGGCGGTGCAGCGGTCAGCGCTACGCTGCGCTACGAGCCCGGCGACCCGGGTTCGATTCCCGCTCACGGCCAACACCCAGTGACGATTATTATAACCGGTACTGGGCCTCCCCTAGGTCGACTCGGCCTCAAATGAGTATCCGGTGTGATGTGTAAACATCATCACCGTCGGTGTAGTGCTGGCGGCCCACCTCCTCGTGCGAAGTTCTCGCTAACAGTCTGCGAAGGCTACGGGGGGGGGGGGGGGGGGGGGGGTGTCTTTGTCTTTGTGCGATTGCCGCCCCGCTCACCCGGCGCCGGTCTCCCCGCTGTGACGCCTGCACAGCCTCCGCTGGGGGTCCCAGGCGCAGCAGGGATCCCGCACCAGTACGCAGTCCCAGCACGCCCGGTAGCGGCCACAGCGGCACACGGGCAGCTGCACCACCCCCGAGGGGCCAGCCACGACCACCGAGGTCTGTGCCGCACGTACACGCCGCACGTACACGCCGCACGTACACGCCGCACGTACACGCCGCACGTACACGTCTCACGTACACGCCGCACGTACATGTCTCACGTACACGTCTCACGTACACGTCTCACGTACACACCGCACGTACACGCCACACGTACACACCGCACGTACACGCCGCACGTACACGTCTCACGTACACGTCTCACGTACACGCCGCACGTACACGCCACACGTACACACCGCACGTACACGCCGCACGTACACGCCGCACGTACACGTCTCACGTACACGCCGCACGTACACGCCGCACGTACACACCGCACGTACACACCGCACGTACACACCGCACGTACACACCGCACGTACACACCGCACGCCGCACAGGACCGCACACGCACCGCACGCGAGCTCGGCCACGCCAATAAACGCCACCAGTCGGCGGGCAGAGCTAGCGAGCGCGCCACAGTAGTGGCGAGTACTTGAGACTAGTAGCGAGTTGCACCGCTCCAGTGGGTGAGTTGTGAGTGCACCGCACTAGTTGTGAGTTGTGAGTGCACCACACTAGTGGGTGAGTTGTGAGTTGTGAGTGCACCACACTAGTGGGTGAGTTGTGAGTGCACCACACTAGTTGTGAGTTGTGAGTGCACCACACTAGTTGTGAGTTGTGAGTGCACCGCACTAGTTGTGAGTTGTGAGTGCACCGCACTAGTTGTGAGTTGTGAGTGCACTGCACTAGTTGTGAGTTGTGAGTGCACCACACTAGTGGGTGAGTTGTGAGTGCACCGCACTAGTGGGTGAGTTGTGAGTGCACCGCACTAGTGGATGAGTTGTGAGTGCACCGCACTAGTTGTGAGTTGTGAGTGCACCGCACTAGTTGTGAGTTGTGAGTGCACCGCACTAGTTGTGAGTTGTGAGTGCACCGCACTAGGAGGGGTCACCTGGTCGTGGGTCAGCACCATGGACAGCACCGGCTCCTGCTGCCCCAGCGCCTGCAGCTCCTCCACCAGGTGAGGATCTCCGCGCGACTCCGGCAGCACGGCGCGGTGCAGCGCGCCCGCGTCTGGGGGGGCGGCCGAGACGCGGCACAGACACACGCACCCATTCAGGGGCCGGGGCCCAACACTGGGAATTCAGGGGTGTGTTGGGGGTCTCTGTGTGTTGGGGGTCTCTGTGTGTTGGGGGTTTCTGTGTGTTGGGGGTCTCTGTGTGTGGGGCTCTGCGTGTGTTGGGGGTCTCTGTGTGTTGGGGGTCTCTGTGTGTGGGGCTCTGCGTGTGTTGGGGGTCTCCGTGTGTTGGGGGTCTCCGTGTGTTGGGGGTCTGCGTGTGTTGGGGTCTCTGTGTGTTGGGGGTCTCCATGTGTTGGGGGTCTCCGTGTATTGGGGGTCTGCGTGTGTTGGGGGTCTGCGTGTGTTGGGGGTCTCTGTGTGTTGGGGGTCTGCGTGTGTTGGGGGTCTGCGTGTGTTGGGGGTCTCCGTGTGTTGGGGGTCTGCGTGTGTTGGGGTCTCTGTGTGTTGGGGGTCTCCGTGTGTTGGGGGTCTCCGTGTGTTGGGGGTCTGCGTGTGTTGGGGGTCTGCGTGTGTTGGGGGTCTCTGTGTGTTGGGGGTCTCCGTGTGTTGGGGGTCTCTGTGTGTTGGGGGTCTGCGTGTGTTGGGGGTCTGCGTGTGTTGGAGGTCTCCGTTTGTTGGGGTCTGCGTGTGTTGGGGGTCTCTGTGTGTTGGGGGTCTCCGTGTGTTGGGGGTCTGCGTGTGTTGGGGGTCTCTGTGTGTTGGGGGTATCTGTGTGTTGGGGGTCTCTGTGTGTTGGGGGTCTCCGTGTCTTGGGGGTCTCTGTGTGTTGGGAGTCTCCGTGTGTTGGGAGTCTCTGTTTGTTGGGGGTCTGCGTGTGTTGGGGGTCTCTGTGTGTTGGGGGTCTCCGTGTGTTGGGGGTCTCTGTGTGTTGGGGGTCTCTGTGTGTTGGGGTCTCCGTGTGTTGGGGGTCTCTGTGTGTTGGGGGTCTCTGTGTGTTGGGGGTCTCCGTGTGTTGGGGGTCTCTGTGTGTTGGGGGTCTCTGTGTGTGGGGGGTCTCTGTGTGTTGGGGGTCTGCGTGCGTTGGGGGTCTCCGTGTGTTGGGGGTCTCTGTGTGTGGGGGGTCTCTGTGTGTTGGGGGTCTGCGTGTGTTGGGGGTCTCCGTGTATTGGGGGTCTCCGTGTGTTGGGGGTCTGCGTGTGTTGGGGGTCTCTGTGTGTGGGGGTCTGCGTGTGTTGGGGGTCTCTGTTTGTTGGGGGTCTCCGTGTGTTGGGAGTCTGCGTGTGTTGGGGGTCTCTGTGTGTTGGGGGTGTCTGTGTGTTGGGGTCTCTGTGTGTTGGGGGTCTCTGTTTGTTGGGAGTCTCTGTGTGTCGGGGGTCTGCGTTTGTTGGGGGTCTCTGTGTGTTGGGGGTCTCTGTTTGTTGGGGGTCTGCGTGTGTTGGGGGTCTGTGTGTGTTGGAGGTCCCTGCGTGTTGGGGGTCTCTGTGTGTTGGGGGTCTGAGTGTGTAGGGGTCTCTGTGTGTTGGGGGTCTCCGTGTGTTGGGGGTCTGCGTGCGTTGGGGGTCTCCGTGTGTTGGGGGTCTCCGTGTGTTGGGGGTCTCTGTGTGTTGGGGGTCTGCGTGCGTTGGGGGTCTCTGTGTGTTCGGGGTCTGCGTGCGTTGGGGGTCTCCGTGTGTTGGGGGTCTCCGTGTGTTGGGGGTCTCTGTGTATTGGGGGTCTCTGTGTGTTGGGGGTCTCTGTGTGTGGGGGTCTCTGTGTGTTGGGGGTCTCCGTGTGTTGGGGGTCTCCATGTGTTGGGGGTCTCCGTGTATTGGGGGTCTGTGTGTGTTGGGGGTCTGCGTGTGTTGGGGGTCTCTGTGTGTTGGGGGTCTCCGTGTGTTGGGGGTCTGCGTGTGTTGGGGGTCTCCGTGTGTTGGGGGTCTGCGTGTGTTGGGGTCTCTGTGTGTTGGGGGTCTCCGTGTGTTGGGGGTCTCCGTGTGTTGGGGGTCTGCGTGTGTTGGGGGTCTGCGTGTGTTGGGGGTCTCTGTGTGTTGGGGGTCTCCGTGTGTTGGGGGTCTCTGTGTGTTGGGGGTCTGCGTGTGTTGGAGGTCTGCGTGTGTTGGAGGTCTCCGTTTGTTGGGGTCTGCGTGTGTTGGGGGTCTCTGTGTGTTGGGGGTCTCCGTGTGTTGGGGGTCTGCGTGTGTTGGGGGTCTCTGTGTGTTGGGGGTATCTGTGTGTTGGGGGTCTCTGTGTGTTGGGGGTCTCCGTGTCTTGGGGGTCTCTGTGTGTTGGGAGTCTCCGTGTGTTGGGGGTCTCCGTGTGTTGGGGGTCTGCGTGTGTTGGGGGTCTCCGTGTGTAGGGGTCTATGTGTGTTGGGGTCTGCGTGTGTTGGAGGTCTCTGTGTGTGGGGGTCTCTGTGTGTTGGGGGTCTCTGTGTGTTGGGGGTCTCCGTGTGTTGGGAGTCTCTGTTTGTTGGGGGTCTGCGTGTGTTGGGGGTCTCTGTGTGTTGGGGGTCTCCGTGTGTTGGGGGTCTCTGTGTGTTGGGGGTCTCTGTGTGTTGGGGTCTCCGTGTGTTGGGGGTCTCTGTGTGTTGGGGGTCTCTGTGTGTTGGGGGTCTCCGTGTGTTGGGGGTCTCTGTGTGTGGGGGGTCTCTGTGTGTTGGGGGTCTCCGTGTATTGGGGGTCTCCGTGTGTTGGGGGTCTCTGTGTGTGGGGGGTCTCTGTGTGTTGGGGGTCTGCGTGTGTTGGGGGTCTCCGTGTATTGGGGGTCTCCGTGTGTTGGGGGTCTGCGTGTGTTGGGGGTCTCTGTGTGTGGGGGTCTGCGTGTGTTGGGGGTCTCTGTTTGTTGGGGGTCTCCGTGTGTTGGGAGTCTGCGTGTGTTGGGGGTCTCTGTGTGTTGGGGGTGTCTGTGTGTTGGGGTCTCTGTGTGTTGGGGGTCTCTGTTTGTTGGGAGTCTCTGTGTGTCGGGGGTCTGCGTGTGTTGGGGGTCTCTGTGTGTTGGGGGTCTCTGTTTGTTGGGGGTCTGCGTGTGTTGGGGGTCTGCGTGTGTTGGGGGTCCCTGCGTGTTGGGGGTCTCTGTGTGTTGGGGGTCTGCGTGTGTGGGGGTCTCTGTGTGTTGGGGGTCTCCGTGTGTTGGGGGTCTCTGTGTGTTGGGGGTCTCCGTGCGTTGGGGGTCTGCGTGCGTTGGGGGTCTCCGTGCGTTGGGGGTCTGCGTGTGTTGGGGGTCTCTGTGTGTTGGGGCCCCCCCACCTGTGCCCAGCAGCAGCGTCCTCCAGCTCTTGCCGTCCAGCGCCGCCATGTCGACCACCAGCAGCCGGTTGTAGGCCACTCCCGGCACCAGCAGCCAGGGCCGGCCCCCCTCGGCCTTCACCGCCTCGTCCATCAGGGGGTGGTCGGAGACGAAGTTGAGCGTCTCGGAGGGCAGCGTCTGCGAGTCCCAGCCCAGGGGACACTGCGAGGGGGGGTGGGGGGGAGCGGAGGGCCGCGTGTCCTAGAGAGTGCTGGAGTCCACACCGCGTGCACAGCGAGCGCCGCGTGTACAGTGACGTGTACAGTTACGTGTACAGTCACGTGTACAGTCACGAGTACAGTCACGTGTACCATGACGTGTGCCGTGACGTGTACAGTGACGTGTACAGTGACGTGTACCGTGACGTGTGCCGTGACGTGTACAGTGACGTGTACCGTGAGGTGTACAGTGACGTGTACAGTCACGTGTACCGTGGAGTCTACCGTGGAGTCTACCGTGGCGCGCACTGCCGGTACTCACGTCTCCGGGCCGTTGTGCGGGCAGGGCCCCCGCGTAGGGGGCCCACCGCCGGTCGGCCCCTCCCCGGTGCTTGAAGCGTCCGGAGAAGACGCGCCGCACCTCGTCCACGCGGTACGAGCAGACGGCCGAGACGGCGCCCCCGCCCCTGCAAGGACGCCCGCGGCGACCGCGCGTCAGAGCCCGCGGCGACCGCGCGTCGGTACCCGCGGGGCGTGGGGCGGAGGACGAGTCGCGCACCAGCGGTCCGTGTAGAGGGCGTAGAACACGGTGCCGGGCCGGCCACGGAGGCCGCGGGTCGACGCGACGTGCCGGAGTCCGGCGAACGCCGTCCCTCCCAGCGAGCAGTCGAGCCGCGACTTGAGGAACGTCGTCCACTTCCTCTCCAGCTTCTTCAGGCCGCCCGTGTCACCCTGGGGAACGCGGGACGACGACGTTCCCCAGCTCGTCCTTCGCACGGGGCAAGTACCGCGGGCAAGCGCCGTAAGCGAGCGGCCCCCCCCCCCTTGGTGCACGGCCATGGCGCACGAGGCGGGGTGGACGACCGGTAACCGCGCGTGGCGCCGACGCTTTACACGCGACCGCACCGGGGAGGCCCGGGACGGCTTCATGCGTGCGTCACCTACGTTGCCGTGGGAACGCGCAAAACTCCACCCGGAGAGTCGCCCGAGTTCTGGAATTGACCCCCAGGCCCCCTCCTCCGGCCGCGAGGCGCCGGCGGCGACCGCCGCGCTGCCACCCTCCTGCCCCCCGTCGTGCCGCGGGGGTCAGCACACCCGCGTCTCTCCCTCTCTTCGTACCCCCCCGCCCCGCCCCGACGCCTCCTCACCGTGCAGACGCGCGCGACCCTCGGCACCACCACCCTGGAGTAGAAGTCGAACTCCATGGCCGTCTCCGAGAAGAAGAAGTAGACCTTGTTGTCCTGCTCCCGCGACTCGCTCTCGTTCACAAACTCCGACGCCACGAACGTCGGGTCTGCGCGGCCAAGACACCAACAACAACGTCAACAACAACGCCGACAACAACAACAACGCCAACAACAACGCCAACAACAACGCCAACAACAACACCAATAACGTCAACAACGCCAACAACAACGCCAACAACAACGCCAACAACAATGCCAACAACACCAATAACGTCAACAACAACGCCAACAACAACGCCAACAACAACAACGCCGATGTCAACAACGCCAACAACGTCAATAACAACACCAACAACGTCGACAACATCAACAATGACAACAACACCGACAACAACAACAACAATGCCGACAACAACACCAATAACGTCAACAACAACGCCAATGACAACGCCAACAACAACACCAATAACGTCAACAACAACGCCGACAACAACACCAACAACGTCAATAACAACACCAACAACGTCGACAACATCAACAATGACAACAACACCGACAACATACAACAACAACGCCGACAACGTCGTCGTGCGTGCACGTGCAGTCGACTCTCGATCATCCGCGGGCGGTTTATCCGATTTGCGGATTAACCGCGCGCACCTAAAAACAAGTGCACATTGATACACTTGTTTTTAGGTGCTTAAACCAAAAAATATGTTCTCCATGTGATCGCCCTCAATTTTCTTAACTTAAACATAATTTATACCCCAAAAGAGTAAAACCTTGGGATTGCGAGCACAATTCGTTCCGGAAACGTGTTTGTAATCCAAAGCACTCGTACGTCAAAGCACTCGTACGTCAAAGCACTCGTACGTCAAAGCACTCGTACGTCGGTTGCGATCGCGTGACGCTCGGCAGTACAAAGCGTCTACACGTACACCGCTCGTGTTGCGAGACCCTCGCTCGTTTATCAAATTAATATTTTGTTAAAATTTCTGCTAGTCTTGCAAAACACTCGCAAGGCCAAGTTACTCACAATTCAAGGTTTTGCTGTATTAGTGCTTTTTTTAGCATAGAGATCCGTGGAAAATGGTTCTAAATTTTTTATTATCCGCTATTTTAAATTATCAGCGGCCGTCCTGCCAGTCATTATCATGGATTCTACTGCGTTTTAGTTATCGCAGCGGCTGATTGTAGGCCGACTCGAAGGGGCAAAAATCACAGGCGTAAAATTGTAATAAAGAGTCAGTCCGATGTTTGTCAATCCCGGCCCCTCTGCCCCTCCCCCCCCGCCGATTAATATAATCAATAATAATAATTTATCACGCGGAGAAATAATCGACATCCGTCGGGACAGCAACCGCCGCGTGTTCGCCGTTCCCTGCGGCCGGCGTCGCGGGGAGCGGCGTTGACGGCGTGCAGAGTCACGGCGCGGCCCACGCGCAAAAGTCTGCGGATTTGAATTTCTACACAAATTGGCGGGGGGTGGTGGGGGGAGAGAGAAGGGGGGGGGGGGCGAACTCACTGTACAGCCAGCTGCTCGACAGCTCGCTGGACATGCTGCTAGGGCTCCGCTGCACCACCGACTCGGTGCCCAGGTAGTTGCTGCGCGTGCCCGAGTAGAGCTCTCCTCCTGCAGAGGGAGGGGACGCGATGCCGCCGTCACCGTCACGGCCGTCGTTCTCCGTCGAGCGTAACGCTTCCACCGGCGTCGACGCTCGATTAAAGATTAGAGACGGGGGGATGGGGGAGACTTTTTTTCACGTGGGGAATGTTCAGTTTTCCATGGAGGGTTTCGGCAGGCGTGCGCCCGATGATAAAAACGAACGAATTTGCCGGCGCTGCGCGGCACCGGCCGGCGCAGCCGAGAACGGAGACGCGAGACGCGGCCCCCGAATGCGGCGACGCACGGAGCTCTCCAACCGCGAGATCGCCGCGATCCCTCTCCGCTGTGGTCCCCCGCACTGCCGCGCTGTCTCCCTGCAGCCAAATCAGCCGGGAGGTCGACGGGACGGCCGCGATGACTCGAGCAGGGGTGAGGTGATGCAGAGGGTGCGTAGGATGCGGTGGGTGGGTGGGTGTAGGATGCGCGATGCGTACAGCGGTGTGTGCGTGGGATCTTTAGTGTGGCGTGCGGGTAAATGCAGAGCGTGCGTGTGGTGAAGCGAGGTGTGTGGTGTGGCGTGGGTGAGCGGAGGGCAATGTGGGAGCTGCGATGGACACGCACCGGTCATCAGCGAGGTGTGCCTCTGCTCGGGGTCAAAGGGGCACTTGCCCCTGCCGTTCTCCTCCATCACGGTCCCTCCAGGATTTTTCACAAACGAGAAGTCAGTTACGTTCTACACGCGGGGTCGCACGGGGGGGGGGTCGCACGGGGTCACAGCCAAAGGTCACGCCAGCACGCGTGAACTCGTGCCAGAACGCACACCGGCTCCCATCAACACACAACAAAGCACTAACGTGCACTTTTAAATCATCTAGATTGAAAACTCTTTTTTTTATAACAGTTTTTTGTGTTTAGTTTGTTGTCCTTCCCCCACACCTCCGATTAGCACGGTTGGCTACGTGCGGTGCAAAAGAAGTTCAACAGACACGGTAATATTCACCCACACAAGCCAATGCAGAAACACTACAACACCCCAAGGTGCGTGTTCATAGTGCGGTGCGCTAACCACTGCACGACTGCTCCACCAATAAATACAAAGATCCCCCACCGTGTAGCCTCAACAGACTTTTGGGACAAGTGTTGTTCACGAGCACCTTGGAAGGCCGGCGCGGCACACGAGCGGGGGGGGGGGGGGGTGGGTGGCCAGCACCACGCCCGGCCGCCTTTGTCTCCCCAGTGACGATGTTTTACCGCACGCCGCCACGCCGGGTGCTCGTTTGAGGCCGAGCCACCCGAGCGGAGGCCCGGGACCGGTTCGGACGACCGTCACCGGTGAGAGGGAATCGAACCGCGCACGCTCGGGAACACCCACGGAACACCCACGGAACACCCACGGAACACCCACGCACGCGTCCCCACCCCCCCTGGCGCGTGGCGGCGGCGGTGGCGGAGGGCGGGGGGGCGGCAGCGCTCACGATGTAGGCGCACTTGGGCTGGAAGGCGCCGGTGCCGCACGCGTACAGCCGCGTGCCGTCGAGTCGGTGCAGCACCCGCACGAAGTTGAAGCACTCCCTCTGCGGCACAGGGCGTCCCTCACGCTCGCACCGGGCCACCCCTCACGCTCACAACGCGGCCCCCCATTCTCACGCTGACGACGATTGGACCGCACGCGCCCACGAGACCCTAATGGACACACCGGGGTTTCCCCGCAGCGATTATGGAATCCACACGGTCGCAATGCCACCGCCCCCTCCCCCCCCCCCCCCGTGGATGTAAAAGGATTGGGGCGCCACGGTGGCTGGGAGATGTTAACTACCTCGCCCGGTGCGCAGGAGGCCGTGGGTTCGATCCCGACCCTGACGCCCGTTCTGTATTCGGAGTTTACGGTGTCCCTCCTCGTGGTCGCGTGGATTTTTCTCCGGGTCCTCCGGTTTTTCCCTCCGCATTTATAAACGTGTTCAAGAGTATTTGGCTGCTATCAATTATTTCCACGTGATAAGCCACATCGTTGAGCTATCATTTGTGATAGCCAGGCTGCATCTGAATAAAATAGCTATATTTAAGAAAAGCGTGCATTAGTTTACGGTACCTGGCTGTTCCTCTTCGACTGACACATCTTCATTTGGCTGTCAGCCTTCCAGGAGAGCTGATGAGAGAGATAGAGGCAAACAGACACAGAGGCAAGAGGGTCACGGCCAGATACGAGCGCTCGAGAGACGGACACGCAGACGGGGCGGCCGAACAGACGCACAACGCAGTCATACCGATGGTCAAGCAGACGGCTTGACAAGCACAGGCGTTCACAGACACAAACACAGAACTCTGGGAACAACAACAACGCTACTCAACACGAGGCGTCACGATGTCGAGGGAAGCCCATGGCCGTTCACGCCGCCCGAGCCTTCAACAGACGCCTCAAAGAGACGAAGGTTAAACGCGGGGAGGTCACCCGCGTGAACCCGAGGTCGCGGCATCAGAGGTCACGGGGTCAGGATTCACGGGCCGGCCCGAGGTCGCGAGTCTCAGGACCTGTAAGTCACCGAGTCCCTGGGTCACGAGCGTCGGGGTTCCGTCTCTCCGGAGGTCCCCGTTCTCTACGGAGGTCCCCCTGGCTACGGCGGTCCCCTGTTACCCCCGGATCCCCATCCACACATTCCCCAGATCTCTCCGGGTCCCTGTCCCCCGGGTGCCCTTCGGTCCCCCGGCTAGTGGCGTCCCCCCCAGATCCACGTCCCCCGGGTGCCCCCACGCCCCGGGTGCCCCGGCTAGGGGGTCCCCCCGGCCGCTGGCGGGGTCCCCCCCCCTCACTCACGGCGGGGTGGAGCTCGCGGGAGACGTTGCGGGCGTCCAGGGCGAGGATGGCGTCGCGCGCGCCCACGTAGAGCGCCGAGCGCTGCGGCACCAGCAGCAGCGCCGACACGTTGGGCACGGCGCGGAAACTCATCGCCGCCTCCCGCGCCAACTCTGAAGGGGTGGGGGTGGGGGGAGGGAGCGGGGCGGGGTGGGGTGAGGCCCTTGCAATGACAGAAGTAACCGATGGTGCGAAATCATTTGCATGCGGCGCCGTTTCCCCAGGTCGAACGTATGTCCGTCCCCCCCCCCCGCCCCTCTAGTACCCGATTAGTGCCGGCAGCAGCGGATCGCCGGTGGGGAAAAAAAAAAAAATTGCCTGCACGCCGCTGCGTCGCAGTCGGCCTCACGTGGCCGCCGGGCAACAACGAACGGGTCGCGAATTCGCGGACGGCGCGGCACACCGCCGCCCGTGGGCCGCGTGAACTCAAGCGGGGGGAGGGGGGCGAAGCTGGTGCTGCGGAGAGCGGTCGTCGTTGCAGTCGGCTCGCTCCGCCGCTAAACCGGCGAGCCAAGTTCCATTCACGCTCACGCCCGACACCAGTGACGCAATTATCCAAAGCGGTTCCTGGGCCTCCCCTAGGTCGACTCGGCCTCAAATGGGTACAGTGGGGGAGACAAAGGCGGCCGGGCACGGTGCTGGCCACCCACGCCCTCGTGTACCACCATGCCCACGGCCTTCATGGGTCCCGCTACTCGCCAACGGCGCTTGCCCCGAAGGTGTGTTCAGGCTACACGCGGGGGGGGGGGGTAATCTCTGATGGGCCGCCACTGCTGCTGCTGAGAGATAATCATCGGAGGCGAAATTTCCACCGTTCGTTCCGCTGGCATCACGGCGCCGTGTTAACAACACCTCCCACCGTGATCACAATTGTTGCTATCGTCACAATTGTTACTATCGTCACAATTGTTACTATCGTCACAACTGTTACTATCGTCACAACTGTTACTATCGTCACAACTGTTACTATCGTCACAATTGTTACTATCGTCACAATTGTTACTATCGTCACAATTGTTACCATCGTCACAATTGTTACCATCGTCACAATTGTTACCACAATTGTTACTATCGTCACAATTGTTACTATCGTCACAATTGTTACTATCGTCACAATTGTCACTATCGTCACGATCGTCACTATCGTCACGATCGTTACTATCGTCACGATCGTCACTATCGTCACGATCGTCACTATCGTCACGATTGTCACTATCGTCACGATTGTCACTATCGTCACGATTGTTACTATCGTCACGATTGTTACTATCGTCACGATTGTTACTATCGTCACAATTGTTACTATCGTCACAATTGTTACCATCGTCACAATTGTTACCATCGTCACAATTGTTACCACAATTGTTACTATCGTCACAATTGTTACTATCGTCACAATTGTTACTATCGTCACAATTGTTACTATCGTCACAATTGTTACTATCGTCACAATTGTCACTATCGTCACGATCGTTACTATCGTCACGATCGTTACTATCGTCACGATCGTCACTATCGTCACGATTGTCACTATCGTCACGATTGTCACTATCGTCACGATTGTCACTATCGTCACGATTGTTACTATCGTCACGATTGTTACTATCGTCACAATTGTTACTATCGTCACAATTGTTACTATCGTCACAATTGTTACTATCATCACTCCGTCTCCTCCTCCCCAGCACCCGCCTCCACACCACCGGGGGAGGGGGGGGTTGAACAGGCAGCGAGAGAGCGAGCGACGACGGGAATGCCGTGCCTGCGGAGAGGCCGGTGGCATCGCGCGACTTATTTATTCTCGCGCGAGCTTGGGAAGAGGCGGGAGATGACAGGAGGGAGGAATTCCAGGGCGGAGGCAGCGCAAGGGAAAGAATTTGATTTTGTTAAAAACGGGTTTTTTGTTATTCCGCTGAGGACTTGAGTAAACCCTCAGGCTGGTACGAGGATGAGCGAAAAACGCCAAAAACATTCGCTCGGACATTTAAACTTTACAAAACGATCTGACCTGCACAGCGGGCAAAAAAGCAACAGGCAAAAAAAGCAACAGGCAATCTCATTCAGCTCCATAAGAAGCTCTCCCCCTTCCACCGCCACTTCTACCCGGCAATCCAACCGCCCGTGTAGTGCGCCGCAGGACAGGGAACAGCGTGGCGAGGAGGGCGAGCCGGTGCGACTTAAAACCACCACCGTCACGCCCACCGCCATCGCAGCCTAGACCATCGCCGCATCCTCCGCCGCTGCGGCTGCTATCGAATCGTCCTCCATCACACCCGCCACCGTCGCAACACCCACCCCATCGCACCACGACCCACACCGTTATCGCACAAAACCCATCGCACCGACCATCGCCGCCACCACCACCACCACCGCAGCAGCAGCCAGTACTCACCTTCGTAGGAGAAGCTGACTCGGGGCACCAGCGGCCCCTCGGCGGCCACGCGCAGCGCTCCCAGCACCAGCACCAGCGCCGGCACGGTACCCATCTCCCCCCGCTGCTCTCCCCTCACCACCCCCGCCACCCTCCTCACCACCCTCACCGCCCTCCTCACCGCCCTCCTCACCACCCTGGGCGCTGCGTAGGAGAACGCAGTGGCCACCGAGCGTAGCCAAGGGCCCTGCCTTGGGTCCCTTCCTCTGCCTCCTCCTGCCGCAAACCGTCCTACCTCGTCACGCAGGTCGGCATCCGTGTGGCGCACGCACAGCGCAGACACAGCGCACTCGGGCACAGCACAGACACAGCGTACACAGACACAGCGTACACAGACACAGCGTACACAGACACAGCGTACACAGACACAGCGTACACAGACACAGCGTACACATGCACAGCACAGACACAGCGTACACAGACACAGTGTACACAGACACAGTGTACACAGACACAGCGTACACAGACACAGCGTACACATGCACAGCACAGACACAGCGTACACAGACACAGCGTATACAGACACAGCGTACACAGACACAGCGTACACAGACACAGCGTACACAGACACAGCACAGACACAGCGTACACAGACACAGCGTACACAGACACAGCGTACACAGACACAGCGTACACAGACACAGCGTACACAGACACAGCGTACACAGACACAGCGTACACAGACACAGCGTACACAGACACAGCATACACAGACACAGCGCACTCGGGCACAGCACAGACACAGCGTACACAGACACAGCGTACACAGACACAGCGTACACAGACACAGCATACACAGACACAGCGCACTCGGGCACAGCACAGACACAGCGTACACAGACACAGCGTACACAGACACAGGCACAGCACAGACACAGCGTACACAGACACAGCGTACACAGACACAGCGCACTCGGGCACAGCACAGACACAGCGTACACAGACACAGCGTACACAGACACAGGCACAGCACAGACACAGCATACACAGACACAGCGTACACAGACACAGCGTACACAGACACAGCGTACACAGACACAGCGCACTCGGGCACAGCACAGACACAGCGTGCACAGACACAGCGTACACAGACACAGGCACAGCACAGACACAGCATACACAGACACAGCGTACACAGACACAGCGTACACAGACACAGCGCACTCGGGCACAGCACAGACACAGCGTACACATGCACAGCACAGACACAGCGTACACAGACACAGCGTACACAGACAGCGTACACAGGCACAGTGTACACATGCACAGCGCAGACACAGACACAGCGTACACAGACACAGCGTACACAGACACAGCATACACAGACACAGCGTACACAGACACAGCGCAGACACAGACACAGCATACACAGACACAGCGTACACAGACACAGCGTACACAGACACAGCGTACACAGACACAGCATACACAGACACAGCGTACACAGACACAGCGCAGACACAGACACAGCGCAGACACAGACACAGCGCAGACACAGACACAGCGTACACAGACACAGCGTACACAGACACAGCGTACACAGACACAGCGTACACAGACACAGCACAGACACAGCGTACACAGACACAGCGTACACAGGCACAGCACAGACACAGTGTACACAGACACAGCACAGACACAGCATACACAGACACAGCATACACAGACACAGCGTACACAGGCACAGCACAGACACAGCATACACAGACACAGCGTACACAGACACAGCGTACACAGACACAGCGTACACAGACACAGCGTACACAGGCACAGCACAGACACAGCGTACACAGACACAGCGTACACAGACACAGCACAGACACAGCGTACACAGACACAGCGCACTCGGGCACAGCACAGACACAGCGTACACAGACACAGCACAGACACAGCGTACACAGACACAGCGTACACAGACACAGCGTACACAGACACAGCACAGACACAGCGTACACAGACACAGCGTACACAGACACAGCGTACACAGGCACAGCGTACACAGACACAGCGTACACATGCACAGCACAGACACAGTGTACACAGACACAGCGTACACATGCACAGCACAGACACAGTGTACACAGACACAGTGTACACAGACACAGCGCACTCGGGCACAGCACAGACACAGCGTACACAGACACAGCGTACACAGACACAGTGTACACATGCACAGCACAAACACAGCGTACACAGACACAGCGTACACAGACACAGCGTACACAGACACAGCGTACACATGCACAGCACAGACACAGCGTACACAGACACAGCGTACACAGACACAGCGTACACAAACACAGCGTACACAGACACAGCGTACACAGACACAGCGTACACAGGCACAGCACAGACACAGCGTACACAGACACAGCGTACACAGACACAGCGTACACAGACACAGCACAGACACAGCGTACACAGACACAGTGTACACAGCGTACACAGACACAGCGTACACAGACACAGCGTACACAGACACAGCGTACACATGCACAGCACAGACACAGTGTACACAGACACAGCGTACACATGCACAGCACAGACACAGTGTACACAGACACAGCGCACTCGGGCACAGCACAGACACAGCGTACACAGACACAGGCACAGCACAGACACAGCGTACACAGACACAGCGTACACAGACACAGCGTACACAGACACAGCGTACACAGACACAGCGTACATAGACACAGCGTACACAGACACAGCGTACACAGACACAGCGTACACAGACACAGCGTACACAGGCACAGCACAGACACAGCGTACACAGACACAGCGTACACAGACAGCGTACACAAACACAGCGTACACAGACAGCGTACACAGACACAGCGTACACAGACAGCGTACACAGACACAGCGTACACATGCACAGCGCAGACACAGCGCACTCGGGCACAGCACAGACACAGCGTACACATGCACAGCACAGACACAGCGTACACAGACACAGCGTACACAGACACAGCGTACACAGCGTACACAGACACAGCGTACACAGACACAGTGTACACAGACACAGCGTACACAGACACAGGCACAGCACAGACACAGCGTACACAGACACAGCGTACACAGACACAGCACAGACACAGCGTACACAGACACAGCGTACACAGACACAGCACAGACACAGCATACACAGACACAGCATACACAGACACAGCGTACACAGGCACAGCACAGACACAGCGTACACAGACACAGCGTACACAGACACAGCGTACACAGACACAGCACAGACACAGCGTACACAGACACAGCGTACACAGACACAGCGTACACAGACACAGCGTACACATGCACAGCACAAACACAGCGACTCTTCACAGTTAATAAATCAGGTTATTTTAACATCACACTCGTCAATAACACGGTTGGCCTTGACACAAAAGATGACGTGCTCTGAAGAAAGGGAACTGCCAGAAACGTCGTGGACTACAGTCGATCATCGACTGTCCGGTGGCTTCATGGGGGAAGGAGTCACCGGATTTTCAAAAACGCCTGATCACTATTCATCATTATTTAAAACATCTTATCTTCGCACATTCTTGCTTTTTGGTGTTGTGTTGTATACATTTTGAATAAATAAACATACAAATACCCTCCTAATAACAAAGGTTTTTGGGTTAGATCGCGTTATTTATAAATGTGTCGTAACCCTCCACCACCCGACATGGCCAATCAGCAAAAAAGTGTCACGTTGACAAAAGACAAATAGTTCACTACTTTAACCCCTCACCGGTGTGTTGAAGAGTGAACCCACAACATTTATAGTTTGAGCACGACGTTTCGCTGGTAATTACATCCATCATCATCGGGCAATTCGCCAGAATGTTAAAGCCCTCACTTGCTCCCGGTCTTAAATAGAGCAGATTATTTGGAGGTGGTGAGCTATCCACAGAGCCGAGTCATTCAGGGCCATCAGGAAGTTGCTCGGTCAGACAGGAAGTCATAGAGTTACTCACAACCGAAATTGTATCACCGACTGCAGCAGCAACCCCACAAGGAAGAGTCCATGAGCACGGGGGACAGATGACATTAGTCCACACTCTCCTCTGCTGCATGAAATTTCGATGTCGCACCTCCGATTTAGCAGGGTTAGCTACGTGCGGTGCGAAAATAAGTTAAAAATAGGCACACGCACGTGAAGGGAGTTTCGCAACATTGTCATTTCCATAATAAGAGGTTTATATTTTTTTGGGTGAGATCGCGTAAATATAAATGTGTCGTTAAACCCGCCACCACCCGACACAGCCAATTAGTAAGGGGGTTGTCACGTTAACAAAACGTGGCCAATTCGTTACTAGTTCAGCACTAACCGGTTGTGTTGGAGAGTAAAACCCACAACATTTACAACCGAGTACAATTCAGGTTTAACCTGGACCATAACAAACGTGAACTTCGAGCGGCGCTATGCTGTGCCCACGTTTTTGTGCCAAGCTTCTTTTTCCCACAATGCCTCTCTTCGAGCCATGGCCTTACTCAAAGACGCCGGCGATCGTGGCCTTCCTTCCACTTAGCTCTGTCCATGATATTACTCAAGAACTTGATAGTCTATGGGGCGACATTTGTGCATGGGCGACGTTGGTCCATGGGCGACGTTGGTCCATGGGCGACGTTGGTCCATGGGTGACATTAGTCCAAGGGCAACGTTAGTTTATGGGTGATGTAAGTCTATGGGCCACTTTAGCCTATGTGCCATGTCTACATTAACTCTCTTGTTTCCTTAATACATGTTCGAGAAGTATAACTTGCCCTGATAAAATTCTACTTACAGTATATTATTTTTGTACCGGCTATAATACATCTGTTACTCATCTCAAACTAGGTAAAAACTATTAGGAATAAAGTTGTGCGGCAGAGTTGTCACGTTTTAAAAAATAAGTTATTCGGTTCATAATGGCGTGGTCATTTTCAACTCTTGAGTCAGCAAGAACCATTCTTTTCACGTGACGGAGACTCGTTTCAAAAGTTAACGATCAAACGTTATTCGGGAAGATTTAAAGTTTCATAAAACATCATTGCCGTCATCATTCACGACCTA